CGCCCGCTTGAGATGTTATCTTCCTCGGAGGCTGAACCCCAGCCGTTGATCATGGACCCTGTCACAGAGCTCTCCAAATCCCCAACACTGGAGGCAGGTGTCTGCTCAAGGCCGCGCAGAAGGAGCCTTCTGTTCTGCATCTTGGCCGCCTCTATATCTGCCTCATCCTCTTCTTCTTCGGGCGCATCAGTATCCATATCAGAGACCAAGGGCCCTGAGATGTACCCATAGGTATGTGGTGGGGAGATCGGCCTTGGAGGGGGTGGAGGACTTACAGGTTGACGTCTGTGTAAATACAAGGGCAAGAAGAATTGAAGTCACATAACATAGTCAGAGGAAACAGCAGACTGATGAAAACATTTATTTCCCAACCAGCTTGACTTGCCTTTTCAGATCAAGAGAATTTATATCTGAAAGGTTCAGGGTTGATATTTAATTATTTTTTTGTTTTTCTTTTTGCTGTAAATCAGAACTGATAGTTATCTAGTTTGAAATCTACCACTAAGAAATCTGATTTTTCAATATGGTTCCTTTACCACTGATTTTAATGAAAATTGGCTTATTTTGCATAAAGCTCTTCATTTTTCCTAAAGTAGCACTTGAAGAGAAGCATGTGAAGAGATGGTTACATTTCATGTGACTATTTAAAAAATTAAAAAAATTTGTTTCTGCACTCTTGAGAGCAAAAGAAGTGTCTGCATATTGCTCTAGAAGTTTGAAACTATCAATGTAATTACTTGCCACCACCTACCCCAGTGATTCAGAAAGACATAAAAAGTGATACTGTTATTTCATTATTTTCTAAATTCGCCTAGGTGATAATTTAAAGAAAAAAATATCTACTGTAACATTAGTTTTAGGTCTTAAGGATTCCAAAATGCATGTATAGGTTAATTTATTTTGAACTTAAAGCACGAGTAATGGTGTCTCCAGCTTAAAGAGGCAAAGTATTAGATACCATTAGGTCAACCGTTCAGTTTAGTTAATACTTCACTTAGAAGTTCCAGATAGTAACATTGTCACCAGTTTTTCTTCAGAGGACCACAGGCATGCTCTTTAATTGCCATTTGTCTAGGAGCAGCAACGGCAGAAAGTGGTTTTTCCTACCAAGAATTTCTACTGCAGTCTGCTTTGCAAAGATTTCCAAAGCAATTTTTCCTTTGTCAATTTTTTCGTCTTATTATTTCATTGATAAATGATGAGTCTCATAAAGAAAATCTTTTCTTTTTTGGGGGGGACAGGATTTTTTTCTTTTAATAAATTTGAAAAGAAAATTTAGAAAGGAAAAAGCTAATAATTTCTGACAAGAGCAAACTTGAACCTGAACTACATCATCTAGCCACTTTTTTCCACTTGCTGTATGAAGTAGTAAATGGAATAAAGACATCAGTTAGGGATATATACCCAATAAACACTTAATAACCGCCCACTCTCAAATCCCAAATCCCAGAAGACGTTGCTGCATGGGTATGTCTACCTGCCTCTGACCAGAGACCTTGCCCAATAAAGTTTTACTGCCTCAATTTAAAGCTCTTATGACAACTGCCCTTGTGAAATATTTGACAGTCTTCCTCTTCTCTAGGTTTTGGTATTAGAAGACAGACAACTGGTTTCAAAATATGTTAAGGTTCTTGAAAATACAGCTTGCTGGCCAGCCTTTACGGATGGGGTAATTGAGTGTAGCTGGTTCATGGGCATACAAAAATATTTTGTTCACTTTATCTGACATAGTGGTTCGCACTTTAACAGTGATATCATCTCCTATCTCGGCTCTCGCTTTAACATTGACATCATGCAGCATCTCACTGAATCTTTAGGTTTTTCTCTGCTTGTCCACTCCTGCAGAGAACAGTTTGCTGTACTTCTCACAAACTGACCAGACAGAGAAATATTACAGTACATCATCACCACCAGAATCTTATTCTAGATGCTTGGATCCGGTCAGAAATTACGATAATACTCAGGAGAACTACAAGTAAAGCTAATAAAAAGTATGACTAACAGTATTTTAGACATTATTTTCACTATAAAGTTAGTATTTACAATCCCACCCTCCCGCCAGAAAAAAACACAGAGAGGTAGAATGTGCTCTTAACTGTATTGTCACATCATATTCAAAAGAGAACCCCCCCTTCCAGACTGTGCTACAGATGTTTAGCACAGTACACTCAGCTCCTAAAAAAAAATGCCATAGGTCATATCAGTGCTGTTAGATGGAAAAGGTACTAAGCCAAGCCCTACAAATCAAGTAAACAGAATTACATGAATCTTTTAACTTAGGAGATGGATGTAGCAAAAAGAAAAAAAAACCCCAATGTTTGAAAATGTAAGATGAACAAGGCAAATCTAGTCACTAACAACTCTTTCTGCAAAGCTAGACTTAACCATTGTAGGAAGAACAAAGTAAATGTGTATTTTATTTTTTCTGTCCACTCAACGAGTAAGCTGTATGCCCCAGGAGCTTTAACTGGAGCATCCTTCCAGATACTTTTGCCCCTACCCACAGCTAGGATGACTAACTGCGAGTTTTTGTGTTGAGCAAACCCTCTACTTTTGAGGCAGTGACTGGCAAGGACCGGCTGGTTGTGTGTGTTTGCACACACCTGCTCCAATGGCTAATCCGTTCCGTAAGGCAGCATGCATCTCCCACTCTCTAGAACACGGTAGCTGAGGTTCTGGAAAGTCACTCACAACATACCGCTCACTTAGCATTTCCCTTTTCCATTAGTGTACAGCTAATTTAACCTCTAAATAACCCAGAAAACTTAAGTGATTAAAATGAACACTTCTGTGCCCTGACGTATCAGGGCCTACGGAAATTACAGGAAAATATTATTAGCCACCTACTAATACAAAGAGTTAGTTTAAAGACTCAGGAAGATAGAGGGAGAGAAAAAGATACACCATACATGAACTGTTACCATAAAGAATAAAAAAAAACAAAACCAAAAAAGGCAGACCAAGTAGAAGTGGCGAACAAAAGTAAAACCAGATAAAGGCCCTTTAAAATAAGATTAATAACTACTGCTCACTCGAAATGGAAACATAAAAATGAACTAACTTTTCAAAACACATTCTGGAAAATCCATCCATAAATGTATAGTAAGCTATATTAATAAAATCAAAGTTCTACAGTCTACTTGGCAAGATCAAATCAATTTCATCACAATAGGCCTGCATTTCAGTAAAAATAGGAAGTATGACTAGAATATTGTAGGTAAGTTTGTACATCTGTCATAGTAAACAATATACGCAAACCACTGGAAGAAAAAATAATGAAACAAATACAATTTGGCATGAAAAATCTGTGCCTTCTTAGCAAATAGCAAGACAAGTAAACATCATACATAAAAAGCCTCATTTGGACTTCACGGTTCTATGGAAGAGAAGCTGTGAGAGTGTATATGCAAAATAGTTTGTACTAAAAGCAACTCAGTGGAAATAAAATTTCTCGGTAACAAACATCTATATTAATGTCGGTCATTGTTTTAAATAAGGGTAGGTGGAAATGTTAAGAAAATTTTGCAAGCAATAATTTCCCATATTAGGATTTATGAGAGCAGGGAAATCTATAGGTTATATAAATTATATATTTATATATATTCATACATATCTGTGACAAGTTAATTGCACAGTTACTGTGAAATAATGCTTGCTATTTTATGGTAATAATGCAGTAAATCTATTGGAAACAATGGAACTGTAATTATATGGTAAGCTGTGTTAACGATACCACTTTAATATCTTGATGACTGTGAATTTAACTTATGTCAGCATCGTACATATCGTAAAGTGATATACTGCATTTCTTCCCATGGTATAATAATAAAGCAACTTAATTACATATTTCTTAGGTTACAAATAGCTCTAGCATCCTGGATTAGAAGTTAAATATTAACAGAATAAGTATCGTGGGGAAAATCTTGGCCTCAGCAAACTCAACAGGAATTCTCAGTGGGGCTTAGGACGACTTGTATTACATCTCTCTGGCTACATTTGCATTGACACACCTCCGCTCAGGCTGGTGTTGTATGTGGCCCAGATCCTCCTGACATTCCTGTAACATGGGCTGGAGTTCCTCCTGGGGAGAGGGGGTGAGAGTGGCAGTTGACTGATGGCTATAGGAGACAGCGGCTGGAGAGGAAGCTGCTCCTCGGACGGGTGGAGTAGGACCTCGCTCATCTTCTTCCTCTTCCTCCAGCTCATCCTGCTGCAGATACATCCTTGCAGGTGGGACAGGACAAGGAATTTCTTGGTCATAGCTAAAATTAATTGTTTAAGAAAATAAGGACTTAAATTTTTACTGTGTAATTAGCATATCTGATACATGTACAAATATCCGAGAAAAAAAAAAAATCATTGCTCCATGTGCTCTTGAAAACAGCCTAGTAAGGATGTACCGAGTGGATGTACACCACTGTCAGCAAGCAATCTGTAAATAGCACACTTGAGCAAGAAGAGGAGCACCACAATGGTACTGAAGGAAGGTTTCACTGTCAGCATGTAGGGCAAATTACAGTCCAGTTAACTAGTGATTAAAGCGAGAAACAGATGATGTGTTCATTTCCCTTACCTTTCATCAACTGAAAGACTGTAATCTTCACTATTGCTATGGGGAGGTGGGTGTGCTGGAGGGGGTGGAAGAAGATCTGCCCAGTTCATGCCAGCTTGCTTGGGAGCCTTTGGGGTCCGAGCACCCTTCTTGTGCCCTTGACTCCCTGTGAATAAAAGGCAGTACATATCTGTAATGCTTATAAGGATCTCATAGGCACTAGCTTTCAACAACAAAACAACCATAGTCCCTCCCAGATCCTCTTGAATTCTCTGGGAATTTACTGTTGTGCTGAGCTAGAATAAACAGGCTTTCCTCCTCTTTGCATCAGTTTGTAATTGTAGCTTCTTTGGAGAATTATTCTGCATTTTATGCAGTTGAATTTAACCAGAAACTTCACATACGACAGAAAAAAGCATATGGAATGCAAAACTCGAATCATTAACAAATAGGCAAATGCAATAAAACCATTAATGAATTTTTACAAGCAATGTTACTATGAGTGAGCTTCCTACTTCTACTAATTACATTATAGACTATCATCTAAAACAAATGAGCTGTAGACATATTTTCTAAAGTACCTTTATACTATTTAAATGCTGGAACCTAAAATACAATACGATACAGATATGATCTATTAAAGTTCCACTGTTGCATTAAGTCACTGAATATATGTAATTTGTACTTGTCCACTGAAACAATGAAATTACTAGTTTTAGTCTAAATGGCAGGTGCAGTTGAAAATAATTGCTGGAAGAATTAAAATAGAAAAAAACGAAGAAAGAAGATCGATGAAGTATGGCACATGTTTTCAACTACTATTACTGGGAAATTATAGCTCATAATAGAACAATGCAGCTTTAACAGTTCCAATAACTTTGAATACGGCCAATTATTCAGGTGGTCTTTAATTTTAATATTGGACACAGCTATGATGAGAACTGACTCCACTACTGTTCCTTGGCATACATTTTTATCCTTCGTTAGTGTTAATTCTACATCTACTAATCATAGATAAAGTCACCATATTTTTGAGTATGTTTTAGAATTCATCATATTTCTCTCTTCAGCTAAGGCATGTTAAGCCTTATACACATGATTAAATAAGCTGCACCAAGATTTAGGAAGCTTGTTTTTCTCACTAGCAACAGTAGTTGTGCTTATTGTCCCACATTAGTTGCCAGATATGAATAGCATTTTAGCTACATACAGTTATTTTTCTGGTATCTCAGTATGTCTAGCAAGACCCTAACTATCCTAAGGTGACCATCATCTGCATTCTCTACCCTAAGCACCATGATACATATACTAGGTTCAGCACAATTAATTTATTACCCTGGTCACCTTGCTTCACTCCTGCTGGAGTCCGTGGTAGAGGACTATAAATTGTTACGGTTATGAATAACCATAATAGGTGTCAGCACGGAGAATACCACCTTCTCGTTTTTAATTTGCGTGGGCTCATGCCCCTGAGATGTTTCAGGCCAAATTTCAAGTCTTAATGTAGTTGAGCACAGGCTCAGCACCATATCCTGATGTTGCAGACCTGGGAACGGGCAAAAGGCTGGCTCCCAAAAGAACACCCCATAGCAGCCGGGAGAATCAGGAACCCTGCTTCTCTCTCCCCAGCCACTGAGTATTCAGGTCACCCAAACGCACGGCAGGCTCATTGACACGTTTGTGTGTCTGTGCCTCAGCTGCAATTGGTGAAAGTGGGGCACAGGTTAGGATTAAGGCAACTGGACTATCAAAGGCAACAGCAGAACAAAAGGTGAAAAGTCCTTGTTGTCTTGATTCGTAGGTGTAAGGTCTGGGGAGCTGGTGACTGTGACCAGAACTCACTGTCATTGGCTTGATGTAAATAAACACAGGGCAAATATCAGACTTATGGTAAAGCCTCAAACCAAGACTGGTTTAGCTCTAAACATTTCACACACCTCTACTAGAAATCAAAGCTGAAAGAGAACACATTACACCACAATGAGAAGCAGTAACTTTTGAATTAAACCATATTCTGTGGTTCCAAAGTAGAGTGCAATTCCAGTATCCTGGTCAGCATTCTCCAGCAGGAAAAGCTGTATTATTTCAAGGTTTTTACAAATGACTTCTAGATATTTTGCATAGGAGATGTTGATGAGAAACAAAATTTAACTTTAATTATCTATTATCTACATTTGGAAGATGTAGAAGAAGAGTTTTGACATATGGTGCAATTTAAAAGTTGAAAAAAAATCTTCAAGCAGTTCTGCTAGGTATCACTCAAATGTTCCGGTATCTTGAGCTTGTTCATGTGTAAGGTTGTCTTGGGTGAGTAGACCGAAGAGATGGAAAACAGGTTAGTAAAGTACCAGGAAGCTAACACATAGATTAAAAACCTTTTTGGCAGTTAAAAAGGAACTTCTGCAACCTACCCATCCGGAGACGATAATAATAACCAGCAGGGCATTAACACTAGGAAATCCAACTTCTATTTGATTTTATGACTTTCACACTTTTGGACAATCAGTTACTTAATTGACATTTAGATGGCACTAAACAATCATGAGGAGGTAACAGAAATACAGGCATCTATTGGTTCAGTTTTTATGCTGCTTAACATCCCTGTGCCATACTACTGTCAGCAGGTTCTTCCCGTTATTGCTTCTTCACAACTAGTGCTCACCACGGCTAGGGTGTCCAAACACCAAAACCCCTAAGGTTTAGAAAACACTGAAGATACTCACCAGATGTACTACTGCCTCTGTCTGAGCTGTTGTAAGATCCACCTGTATTCTGGTCGTATGACTGGTTGTACGGAATAGTTGGAGCAATGTTGTCATTTACACGGTAATCTGCAAGTTTAATAGCATAGTTAATGCTACCCTTCAGAAACACATCTGCTTTTATACACCCGCTTTAGAACACAAAGTAAGATCTCCTGGAAATAGCGAGGAAGAAATAAATTAATTTTTTGAAAGGAAAATCATGCTATAATCATGTTCAATTTTTATCTTGTCTCCAATTGTAAGTTTAAGGAAAAGAAGGGGAACTTAGTAGCTCAACAGCAAAAACAAAAAAAAATGAAATCCTACACACGAGGTTGGGGTTGTCGCAATGCCTCTGCAACAATTAAGTCTCCGTGGATCTATATAAGACCTGTGTGAGCATTTTGCATATGAATAGACTGTCACCTTGATTGATTTTCTGTGCTCTGCTTATTTTACACATGTGGAGCAGCCAATGGACTGTGGTAGCAACTTTTTGTATTTCAAAGGTGACAAACCCACATAGGAGTCACCCCTGTATTACAAGGGCTGAATGATTTGCTGGAGCAACAATGCAGCTCCACTGAATTTGGTTTACAACAGAAGAGGTCTTTGTTCAATGCCTGCTGGCTCCAAGAAAATGTCTATTTACATTGGGTTCTGCAGGTTCTAGCTATAGGCAGGGCATTTTTTAGCTAATGGCTGTTACTGTAACTTCCTTCTCCAGTTCCAAAGCACTTGATATACATACATCACTTTTAAACCTAGATTTGGCAACCAGATCTGTAAAGCTTGATCAAAAGTAAAATACTCATCTGACAAAACAGTACTCTCATGCCAAAAAAAGGAATTAAAATCTACAGAGAAGAGAAAGGAGCCGAGTTACTCTTCATACAGCATATAAAACTCCATCATAACCAGAACCACTGGGCATAAAGTAGTGACAATGAAGCACAGCATGTAACTCATCAAAACGGTTATTTCCCATCACAAAAACTATAGGTGTAATCATCACCAAGATGGTTTTGACTTAGGAAATGAGAAAACCAAGATCAGAATATTGACTCATAAAACGGCAAATCAAAACAAAAATAAACAAAAGTAAGAATCCAGTCCCCATCTGCTGCAGAAATGTCTGTGATAATATAAGCATGGGAAAAAGAGCAAAATGATAAATTCCACACCAGAGTGTATTCTGTAATAGTTTCTCAGCCTAGCTACATTCCAGAGACCACGCTGAAGCGCTACATATCACATATGTTTACACAGAGGATAAACAGTAAATCAACACTCTGAAATATGTATATATGACTGTCAGCAGGCAATGCTTTAAGGGGGCCTTTCCACATTACAATATGCTAGAGAATATGCAGCTGTAATATACACAGTTCGAAAGATGCAGTATCTTCCAGGGCATAAAATCCAAACATGTTTTAATTCCAAAACAGATACGTGATACACAGTTCATGAAAGAAAACATAATTACAAAAAAAATACAGCTTTCACCCTCTAGTAAGGAGCCACAAAAATTGAATTCTCTTTTGGCATATTTATGTCAAGGGAGGTGTCACATTTTATATTGCCCTTTGAACTCCTCTATGAGTAGATGGGTCCAGAAGAGAAATCAACATGACTGCAGTGAAATGCATCTTTTTGCTGGATAGCTTATCACTATGCGAACGCTTGAGTTACAACAATCCATGCAAAAAGTTCCAAGTTAGAATGGGTCCAGTTCCTAGGGATACTGTTTTGCAAATCAGGTTATTAAAAGAGGTTGCATGGTAGCCTGGAGGACTAGCAAGAAATCACATACCTACTTCTTCCAACTCCCACACATTATATTAAAGAAACATGCCCTCAAGGCCTCAAAAGTACATTCTGATGTTTCCCGTTAACACTGAAATCAATTTATTTTTAGCTTCTGGATCCACAGACTTCAGTCAGGGTAACAAAGGAATTTAGTTTCCAAAACTGTGCAGTAGCATTGCCTCTCAGTATGTGAATTGAAGGCTTGCTAGGAACAAGTCTAAAATGAATTGGATCACTCCATTTGTGTCCCCAGTGTACAACACAATACAATTTTACAGAGTTTGATATGCAAAATTTCATTCGTTTACATGAACATGTAGATTTAATTAGTCTCCATCCACGACTGGGAAGAGTGGGTTGACCTATTTAAAATTTAAGGTAGAGTATAATGTGACTACCATGCATCTGGCTTATGAATAAAATATCTAGCCTCTGTCCTAACCAATCCCTTAACTACTATTAAATTTAAATTAATGTCAAATCCATAGGAAACGTATTTTATTTAACTCTTTTCTAAAGATACAGCTTGTTATTTTTTTAATAATAAATTCAGTATCTGAAGGTTATTGCGGTGCTAATTAACTTTCTGACACCGCTAACTGTGGATTTCTAAAGCTAAGCAGGGAGAAGCCTAAAAGCACCACAGAAGTCTGTAATTGCTGAACCTGAAAGCTTTAGACTCCCAGCACTAGAAGGTCAAAACTCCTCTGATGCCTAAAGAGGAGAAACAAGCTAAAAGCTCTTCACCTTTGTTTAATTTGTTTTGCTCCATAATGTTGTACTGTATGGGTGCAACCTCTTGCTTTTGCTGAACAGAGGGTTTCCAGTGTTTCTCATTCGTATCCCCGCTGCCATTGTTAACATTATTGCTGATATTTGACTGGATGAGTTGAGTGGTGGCATAAGGAGTGGGCTGCCCCGGCTGGCTGACAAATCTTCCGTCCTTTAGATTGGGACTATTGAAGGTTTTCATCTCATTGATTTTGTTGCTGAGGTCCACGTCACCATATACAGTTGACTCAGGCAACATCAGGTTTGTCTGCTTGTTGTCCAGCTGATTGTTGTAATTTGCTATACAATCGGCTAACCACAGAGGAGAGAAAAAAGAAAAGGTCATTCTGTTCGCTTACACTGTACTTTCAATGAAATTCCCTTTAAAATTTCTTTAGTGCACAGCTCTATGGCTTGCACCCCTGAAGCAGAGACACTGTAATTAACTAAATAATTTACAGAATATTATTTACCTTTTAAGCTACTGCCTCAAAAGCAGTGTTCACTGTTTTGATTCACAGTAAATTCAGACCTTCTGAATTGTGTCTACAATGACTTACCTTGCTGGGCTTTTTCTACAGTAGCCATACAAACTTTCACATCTTTTAGACATTATTCCCAAAGCAGTATAAATATTCAATCCATAACTGCAATTAAAATAATTTGCATTGAAAGGAAAAATTAACTACAACTTAATAGTGGGAAAAACTAAACATGACAGGCATCTCATGTCATCTCAACAGCATTTAGACTTCCTTGTAGTTGTGATAAGAAACAGAGGTACAACAGATTTTTATAAAACATACTGAAAAATGATTACACATAACAGAATTAAAGAGAAACAGTACAATGTGAAAGGTAAGTCAGTACCCAGTAGCAAGTCTTTATTTGATCATCGTTTCCTTGTACAATCTTATATTTTTGGTTTGAAACAAAAAGATAGGAAAACAATGTTGAATTTTTGCTGACTTCTTGTTGCTTTGGATATTGCAAAGTAAGCAAAATTATGGTAATACCTTGGCCCTGTATGCTAAATAGATATCATATAAATAGCATGAAATTAACTTTTCTAATAGTTATTGCATCCTGAGATCACCACTTCTCGTACGGAGTAAATCAGACATATACTGGCCACTGCTGTGTGATCCAGTGCGCCTGCCTCTCCGCATTCCCTTGGCTCTGCATGACAGCAGCTCCACACGCTTTTTTCCTCTCCATAGCCAGTCCACTGGAAGAAAACTGAATGGAGCAACACGGTCTGTGGATCAGCGGTCAGAAGGCTTAGTGAAACTAGCATTCAACGATCATTAAGTAAAAACTCTCATTTGCCAGCTGAGTAATGCATCAATAATTACATAACAATCACCAGGAATATAATTTTCCTCTTTTAAAAGATGTGGCATTTATGCTAATGAGCTTGATTCACAACCTGAAGTCCATTACCTGTGGCCATAATTAATTTACTGGAGAGGGTGCCAAGTAAAACTAAATACAGAATTCAAGATTTGACCATTATACTAAATGAAATAACTAAATATAGAGGATGTTCAATTTCAAAAATACATATATATACACCTTGTCTGAGAAACAAAATACTACTTGAGGAAGAAAACCACTGATTCCAGTGACTATGGAGCAGTATCAGAACATGCCACATACAGCTTGTTATTGCACATTTCATGCCCCCCAGCTTGTGGTTTTTGAAGGTTTTAGTGTTTGATATATTTTTCTTTATTATGTGAGCTCTTACTATTTCACAGTCTTCAGATTCTTGATTTCTACTTTTAAAATGTTTCCATTTTTGCTTTTTCTCTCACCTACTGAAACCATGCTAGTCTCTCCTCCTTTCCAAGTCCGTTGTATTATATTGGGAAATTATATATCCAGTCTATTCATCATTCCTAATAACTCATGCTTTGCTATAATATTCTTGCAGAGTCATTCATAACATATATTTTTACCTCCTTCCATTTTCAGCTACATCTGATTTGTGTGTAGGGCTATAAAATCGATAGAGTATATGCAGTAGGTACATTTTTTTTACATAGACGCATTAGAATTCCTCGTACAAAGTACTTAAATGAAACTGGTTTACTTATGTAACAGAAGATTTATTGTTTGATTTTTTTTATAGCATCTACTTTTAGAATAACCTGTTCCCATTCTGTAAACTTGGAAGACAGTACTACACTTAAAAGCAATTTAAAATGCACAGTTACTTAGCACGCTCACAGCTATTAAGAGGATATCCAATTCTGCTGCTTCAGAGCATAAGACAAGCTCAAGTTGACATTATTAGGAATATTTGCCAGATTTTTCAGGACAGAAGAGACCACTATGAGCATCATGTCTGACCGTCAAGCACATAAACTCTACTGGAAAGGAAGGAATCACTTTGCAACACAACCAAGTTTAATATAAAAGCTAAACTGAGAAAGAATCCACTGCACCTCATGACAGGACATTTTAACAGTTTACAACCATTAAAAATATGCATTCTCTTCCTTTTCTGGATTTCTTAAGTTTCAGTTACTAGAACTTGCTATATCTGTACTTGCCACAATAAAGAATCTCCGTATCAGAAATCTTTCTACACAGGTATTTGTGGACGTGATATCCTTGGGTAAGGGAAGATATAAATCTCTAATTTTAAAATCTCTCACCTTCCTCTGAAGCACCTGGCACAGGTCACTGTCAGACAGCATATTGCAGGAGATGAATTACCACCATCACATCATGGCTGGTTTCACATTAATTACAGGAGGTAATGCTGTTTTGTGCTTATGCAACTTCACTATAGGAAATGATACTCCCTCTTCGAAATGCTAGAAAATGCTTCTAGCAAAAATCAGCTAGAGGTATGGTAGTGGAAAAGACTCATTTCGTTCCGCACCCCTAACACAAACCAGGTTAAAACAAAAGGAACCTAAGGTCCGTTTAAAACAAAACGTGCAAGAGTTAGCACTTCCAGATATATTTCCCCAACTGTGTTCCCATGGAACTCACAAGGTTTTCTTCAAGAGCACTTTAAGTTCTGCCTGAGCTCTTGGAAACTACCACTTAACCAACATTTGGCAACTGCTTTTAGAGTGTGAGGTTAACTTTTTTATACACATGTTCTAAACAGAAAACCAGGTATCCAATTTTGTATAGAATGGCACCTCAAATGAGATTTTCAATGTGTCAGAGTAGACTGACTCACTTGCTAGCACTCTAGAAATATTTTCTGCTTCCCATCACACTCAAAACAGAATGAAAATCTCACTACTGTCATTCTGGTACTTCTCCATCCAAGCAACAGATATGTACAGAATAATCTAAAAATGACCTTATCTGCTCTTTTTCAGATGCTGACACGTCAGTTCAGTGTGACTTTTGGTAACACTAAACTCTGCAGGAGCTCCTTCAGCCTACAGCTTGCTACAACTATCCAAAGCAGCCCAAAAAAACGAATCCAAAAAGGGACTAAAAACATAATCATTGCACAGAGGAGAAACTTTACTAGGTCTAAATGCATAGGAAATAAAAAGCAAACACATCTTTGCAATCTTTCAGATATTAGAAGTACATACTCAATAAAGAAGATCCTTCAGCAGGGTAGAAATATAACTAACCTGGCCGACTGTACGTTGTAAGGTTGCTGTCACTGTTCCCATTGCCAGCGGTGCAGCAGTTGATGGAGCAGTCGTTGTGGTTGTTCCCTGTGTTAGGCCAAGTGTCTGCCAGCCAGGGCTGAGTGGCCGGTTCACTGATGTTTAGGAGTCCTGGCCTTTAAAAACAAAGCTTGGTCATCCCAAGAATTAAACAGAAGCATTCTCACATTACCAGTATATTCCTCTCAAAAGCTTAGACGCTACAGAATAATATCCCATATTTAAAGGCTTGAGCATTGGAAAACACAGCTTGATTCAATCCTCTAATGGTCCCCAGTCTCCTCTATAACCTGTTCTCTACTAAGACACTCTGAAACAAATAGCCAAGGACAGCGCCAGTTCAGCCGGGCGAACCTACACATATATGCTGGTGTGCAACCTTTACCTGCCACTTTGGTTTGGGGCTTTCTAATTTTTGGTTTGGTTTTTTTTTTTTTTTTTTTTCTGGGAAGCTTGTGGGTTTATTTTTCTATCCCTTCCCCTTTCTTACACAAAGGAAGGCAAAATAGGGGAAATCTGCAAATCAAACGAACAAAAACTTCACACATGGAAGTGAGATGGATACGTGGAAATAAAAGCCGAGTTTGGATGTGAATATTCCCAAATTCTTTTTGATTTATGAAGCCAAGTTCTTCTCACCACCTGACAGTACTACTGTAGCGGATCAGAAGGAACAGCAGATTACAGAAACCTCTGTTGCTTGGGCGTATTTGTATCTCACTAAGCATACCGAGTGTGCAATACATCTTTGTTAACGAGCAAGCCACTTGACTAATCTTTATGTGGGTTGAACAGCAGCAGCTCTTAAGGAAGTTTAAAGTGGAAATACTCAGCACCTTTAAAAATATCCAGGTATCAAGGCTGCATACCAGCTGCACTTGGAATAAAGTGTATTCCTGCCATCAGCAGAAAGAAATAGCATTCCTTGGTTTCCATGTTGCTGAATTTTTCTAGTGAGAGGACTGTTTTGTAGAATCTTTCATGCCTCTTCACTTTTGACACTCACAATGCAATGGCATGTTATAAAGTCCCATGTAAGTAGAGGACTTACGTTGCCTTTGATAATTTCGATAAAATTGTCTTTGATAATTTTAGCCACTATCATATACTAAAGGAATACAGCCTCAGCCATCACAGGATTTAACAGACAACTTTACATTTGAAATAGTGCAGAAACTAGTCTCCATAATATTAGATGTGATGCTCTTCAAAAATAAAATATGCTAATCCTCTTAAACTGCAAGTTGAGAATACAAACTGCATGCAGTCAGTTGTGGAGGATATAGTCTGCTTAGTGCTGCAGGCTTAAGGCATACTCTTAGAATGACATTTGAAAAATCTGTATGTATACGTGTATATATATTTCTGCACTGCATATGTCATCTGAGAATTTAACATAGACGGTGATGAAGCTTGACTTGCTGTCAGGCTAACAAAAAAGCCAATATGGAAGTATTTTTTTGTAAATATTAAATAAATGTACAGCTATGTAGCCTGGTGAGCAGGCCAGCTGATTTGAAATACCCTACTTTTCCCCCTATCACTCTGCCCTTAGAATGTAACAACACCTCAAAGGTGTAGAGGAGGAGACAAAGCCTTCCACAATATTTCAGCACTTTTAAGACCTAGGTACTGGATTTTTGCATTGGGAGTTAAAGGTCTTTTGTTTTTAAAATTTACTTTGCATTCACACTGGCTGTCATGCAAGAAATGCTATGTGAGGCAAAAACTCTACTAATTGGAGCCACTTAGGTAGAACTGCCGGCAAGAGATGTTTGCATTACAGCTCCATAGCCTGGTGATATTTTGAGACCATCGTTTCCAAAGATCTTTAACTCTTGCAGCAAATCCCTTGAATCACTGTACTAGGCCTGGGGAAGGGGTGGACCGAGTAAGTGGCTGTGTGGGTGCCTAGCTGCTGGCTGGATTAAATCCACCACAATTAACCATTACTTGAATCCTGTCCAGAAAAGGGACTGCCACAGAAGTGGGTATTTTTTCTGCATCGCAGAAGCGGGGATTACACTGAAATGTATCACCGCAGCATTTTGAATTCTGAATAATGCTTTAACATGCTCACATAATTGCACTTGGCAAAAATGCTAAACCTTCCCAAAACACCACAAATATAATCTAAAGATGTGAAAACCTCAGGTTTAGAAATCGAAGGAAGGTTTCATATGTAAAAATAACACTCTTTTTTACATTGCAGAAGTACGCTTCATACTGTACAAAATTTGGCAAAACATCATACACCCTGTAAATGCTATATATGTAAACGGACAAAAGAAGAATAGATGTTAGCACCCTGAATCAATGACACTGCTGGATTGTGGCACTGATCCTTAAAACTAGGACAGTAAAAAACGATGCTGCCTATCTAGCTGTACCAAAATGACTGTATACAATGTAGACACTTCTGGGTTCATTTCTGTCCTCTGAGTCTATGTGACTGTGCTTTGTCTAGCTTGTGCTATGGGAAGAGCAGGAAGGCACAGCAGCACAAAGAACACAAAGGATGTTAACTGTGTATCTTTTTGAACAACCTCGTCAGGGAAGGAGAGAGTTCCTCTCTGTTCTTCATTTTCCCACTATCCTGGGGTGAAGGCAGCAATCCAGTGATTTGCAGATCCATCCATCCAAAAATCACATGGTAACTGTTCTAGGGGTTTTCCTCCACAGTTTTATGGCTGCGATAACACATACCTGGGCAGAGGTATCTGCAATTGCTCTTAACATGCCAGGTTCGGCAGCAGCAGCAGAGCAGCATCACCTCTGTACAGCATTTGAGCAGACTGGGAATGTTTAATTTTATGCCTAATCTTTACTGATTTTTTGTACGGTCTTGCAAATTAGGAATCACAAAACACCACTTGTGAAACAGCAATTGATATAGGAATTTATCACCCAGCTGCTCTCTGAGATTTTAGAGTTTATTTCAGCGTCATGCCAGATCTTAGAAACTGAGATGCTTAAAAAAAAAGGCATGCTTGAATGTGACCTAGAAAACAGAGAAAAAATTGGGCTGCTAAAGTGACACTGCTCTGACCTGCCTTTGCTAAAACCATTGTTTTGCCTCCTGAAGAGAACTCCACCTCTACACAGTAAATGTAAATTATTGTTTTGTCTACTGCCATTAATTAAGTAATAACCTAAACCCAGTAAACATGTTTTTGTTAAATCCTCAATCTGGAATGGGCTAGGCACTCAAAGCAGGGGGCTTTACATTTGAAACCTATCTGTTTCCCTCCACTTCCCCATGTCTTGTAAGCAATGCTTTAACTGTTTTGCATTCATAGCAAGATTTTTTTTTTCTCAAAAAGTCATCTCGTAAGCCGTTTATGTCTTCAGCAATTTTTTCCAATAAACGTTTTCTTTCTTTGTAGTATTTGTGAACGAGCTATATTTCTTAATCTTCATAAATGCCACGATTTAATTACTTTCACTCCCTTAATCAGCTGGTAAATCAGGTATTTATTTTGAAGTTAAAGTGCTCCCTCTGCTGCTCATTTTTTGAGATGCAGTTTTTACAGGTTAACAAAGCTGAAAATACGTTATGACTCCTTCTTTAAAAATTAACCTAAAAATTCAAACCATATAACTTTTTTCTAGATATAAAAAATATGGACAAAATGTATAAATTATTATAATAAACTAAAACATATCTTTGCAGTGATTATTCTGCCATCACTTACAAGGACAATTGTACTCTAGCATCCTTAAATTTGGTTGCACATGATATATATCTTTAAAAATAAAGCACATAATTACCTGCCTCCACTGCTTACAGCCTCTCCTCCTCTCTGATATGTTACTGAAATAGTTAAAGAAAATGAAAAAAGATACAATTTAAAAGTCATAACAGTCTTCTTAAATTGCAGTATTAAATTCACCTTTGTTTCATTTTAGCTAAGACAATAAACTTGCATTGCTTAAACACTAATTTTGAGCTTCATTCTGCAAGCTACTCTTTCCAATGCACGTTTATGCATAATACTTGTCTTGCTTGATAACTGCCAGTCTTAGCTCCAACAAAATTCTATATTTCAGTTCTGTTCCGAGAAACACAAGCATACACATGTATCACTTAAGAAAGAAGGAAGCCATATAACAGGTTGAACTTAACATAACTCTGATGAGTTCAACAGAGTTACTCTGTGGAAGAATTTAGGTCATATATTTATTTCATGAATGGCTAGAGATGCTAAAGCTTTGCTTGACCTTATCATTGTGGTAGGATTAAGGAGGTATCGTGATTCTATAACAGATCTTACTTCCAGCATAAACTGGCCCATTACAGCTGAATCTACTGCAAAACCACGTGCTCATTCTGAATGTTTTTGCATTATACTCATGGAATGGGCACATTCAAGGTCCACAGCAGATTTGCATTTTATAACATTTTAAAACTGGATTTATCAATGATACCTTCTTATCTAGAAATTTAAAGGTATAAATCTTGGTAAAACATGCTTTGCAGAAAGAATACTTCCTAAATAGGAACAGTTTGACTAGCACTTCAGAAGTGTTGCACGCTAACAAAGTGGAAGTCCACACACATTTATTTGTTGGCATGGATTGAATATTCTTCACAGGAAGGATCATGGTTGAAAAGTTAGTTTTCATGATGCAAACATCCAAGAAGAAACAGTGCTATATATTCTGCGTGTTTGCATTTGGTTTGGCAAAGGGTTAAGGAGATTGCCTCCTTGCAAATGCTGACGGATTCTACATTTTCCAACCAGGAATGTGTTGGAAAAAAGCAGCCAAATTCTGCTCTTTAGAAGAACTCCAAACTGGGAGTCTGCAAGAGAGAGATAAATGCTGGCAGTGATTACAATAACAGGATTAAAATGTAGGATGCATTGCTACAGGTAAGTATTTTACTATAGGTAACGCTAAAGGAGAGTCTGATTCCATTTAAAGTCAATGGAACTGATGACTGGGATCCTGCACTGAGAAAGGATTTTTTCTTCCCTTTAAATGTTTTACAGACTTTGTGTTTTTTTCCAACTTCTTCTGTAAAAATCTTGGTACTATTTATTTTGCAGCTCTGAAATATCTTATGGAGCTTGATATTTTCTTTTAATATTAAGAATCCAGCTGAGAAAATACATGTTAGCTAACCTACCAACCTCTGCAGAATTTCAGCAGTGTCTTACAAGTGTGATAGTAGAAGCCCTCTGTTAAGCCAATTAAAGTAACAGCAAAATAATAATAATAGTTTGAATTAGTCTCCACCGTGGATCTCAAAGGGCTTCAGAAACATTTTGGGCCACTCTGACGCATGCCAAACAGTAAGCAACTCCAGTGAACATAACAGGATGATTTTTGAAACAAGATACTGTTCAATGTGATTAAAAGCACGTGGAAAAGAATCTAGGCCGTTACGATTAGGTCTGTGTCGACGAATGCAGACAGACATGAGATTTCTTCACCTGCGGTCCAACTTGGAAGGATGTCACTCAGCTGCTGCTCAGGGGCCAGATGAGCACGGTGCTGATTTTGAGCTAAGTCACCCTGCTAACCTGAGTGTGCAGAGCAGGGGGTACTTCTTTTTACCCTGCCTGGATATCCATGTCCTGCAAGTCCCATAGATCTCTTGTGAAAATAAGGGATTTAGAATAAAGGAGGAAGAAACAACGTGCTTGTTGACTCAGGCTGTTGCTAAATGTAATGCATGAAGGACATTGGTGGGTACTGAATGGGCTGAATTTTATCTACCCCAGAGGAGAAGCGGCTGAGCTGCTGGACTGTGGGACTTACTGCAGGTTAGCTCTACAGAATGGAAAAGCTCTCACAGACTTGGGTGGGCTATGGCTCGGGTTGTATCATATTTTGTACGTTTCTAAGTAAAAAGAAATAGAAGATGATTTTAAATGCGCCCTGAATTTGAAATGCACCTCTGTTTATGTAGAACAGGATTATTTGAAATTTTCATCGCACAAATACAGTTTAAGGCAGCAAACAAAGACATCTAACTGCTATAACACTTTGATTTTCCGTATCTTCCAAAGCAGACAATTCCTAGGTCACTGAACTAATGCAGATTCAGAGAATAGAAAAAGAAACAAATGTTTCACCAACTATAATCCCACTGAATTCATGTCAAGTCAGCATCTGGGCTCTGCTAAGTCATTCCTCCTCTGCCAGAAGCACCTTTTGCATTGCTAGATGCAGAAGGCCACACTACGCCATCAAAATATTCATGTGGAGAGCCCGGGCTGTCCAAACTGACAGGATCATACTACAAAATGGCATCCTTGTGTCAAATGGTACGTGACAAAAAGGTACGCACAAATGGAGGAACGTGTCAGATACAAAGCAAATACATGCTACTTAGAGAACAAAATAATTACACCTGTCATTAACGCATTGGTTTTAAAACCCGTTCAGAACAGCTGGGCTGGTTATGTCAGAGAAGGAGAAACAGTACCACAAACACATGCTAAAGTAACAAAGAAGGGGGGAAAAGTGCAAATATATACCTGTTGGTGTGAAGGTAAAAGACGGGACTGAAAAATCAAAACAAAATACAAACTGGTTATTAAGCTGAAGAGAGAAAGGGAAACATACCACATTAGTATAAATCTAGCAGACAGCTGAACATAAAACAAATGTATATAACTAACCCAATAGTTCAGTCACATCAATATAGAAATAAAATTAAATTTGAGATTCAGAATGAAGCTTTTCTTTGCAGGTACTATTCTAAAAAAAAAAAAAGAAAAAAGGCAAAAAGCTTGATACTCTGTTGTGCTCTTGAGGGGACCAGGCTGTGGTTTAGCCTTTCAAATATCCCTCAGTTTGGTATGCTAAGTTTTTCTGAAAATCCTAGCACAAACATAAACCCCACACTGTTAATCAGTTCAGAATGCAGAATGACGAATTCCTTAACAAAGCCTTATCAAGGTCCTATTGAATCTTATCTGCAGTTCACTAAGTAAATGCTCATTACGCACACTTAAGTATTCAGTAAGGAAATAATAATCATATAAAGGAACAAAGGGAACTGCTGTTTTACTGTCTCGGAATCAAGAATGGCACCAGCTCTCACTGTAATAAAGGCACTAAAATCTACTGCAGCAATTAATTTTTGTTTCCATAGACAAGTGTTAAACAGAGTTATTATCTTCCTCAAATAATCATCAAAAAAGGTGAAAAAAAATCTCCCTACATGTAACACTTTTCTACCTTTCAACCTTTGGCTTTAAGAGGGAAAGGTTAACAACAGAACAATGACATCGTCTGACAATCTTCACTCTCACAGCTACTATAAATCCTCTTTGGATCAATAGGGTCTCTAATCCAAATACAGAGCACCAGCATCTGCTCTTCCCATTAGCACATGCTCCCCCTCCTGTTGACAAGACAGAATAGTTTTTCTATCACTGATGGGCAGAGAAAGGCTAACACTGCCCTTTTCCATCTAACGACAGCGAAGAGAAATGTGAAGAGAAACAATAAAATATTCACTAAAAGCATCCTTGACACAGAATCTGATCCGTAAACCTGGCACAGAAAGAAAAGGTTCTGCCTAAGAGAACAATCGCTTAACCTAATTTTTACAGTAACTCTGATGTTTGAGGGGAGTCCAGAGCATCTCATTATGATTTAGGATAGATATGCTGTAGTTTTCCCCTTTTTTACCAAGCTGATTAATTTCCAGTGATATGACATTAAGTAAAAACCAGAAAAACCTCTGAGCATTTGCCCATTTCAGGCTTCATTTGCAGCACAGCTCTTATCTTGGGAATTCCATTGTACTGTCTTTGAGCTAGGCCTTTTCATGTAGTGAAGTTTAATTTAGCTACATTCAAAGATATAGAACCATAGTAACAAGCTTTCATAGAACTGGTGCATTTAAACTGGAGCCATTCAAAAGAGAATCTAGTGTCTCAAAATTAATTTGCAATCACAAGGACATTAAAAAAATAATCTTACACTACTGTCTCATTACTCTTCCGTGAGCTAAGTGCTAAACTGAGTTTAGTTTCTTAAGGAACTGAGGAACAGACGAAAAGAGGTTCAGCTAAATGAAGTCTTTATCACATGAAAGAACAACTTAATTCTCAGAGCTTCTATTAATAAACTCTTCTGAGTGTGCAAGAGTGCTAGTACAATTTCTATGTGTGGGAGTAGTAAAGTATTTTAACAGATGTCAGGCCTGAAGCTAAATATAAAAATAAATGAATAAATGCAAGACTGAAGAAAGTTTGGGCTTGCAGTGATGACTTAATGCACTGCTATTTATATTTCACTAAAGATGTCTTTTTGCTTGAAGAATACTTGATAACAGAGATGCAGACCCTACTTTTCTCTATATTTTCATTAAAAACCCCACAAAAGATATTTTCACAGACACTGAACAACACAGCTGTTTTGAACAATAGCTGATGTCATTGAAGTAACCATTTTTAAGGACAAATTGTATGCCTTTTGCCTAATCATAGGTACTGCTGAAAGCATAGTGGTGTTAGTTTGATAGAACTGTAGAAAGGCAGCATGGCAGCATGCTATTAGTAAAACAAAACAGCGCAGGCCAGTGCAGCAGCATGTTGGGGTCTGTCTTACCTAGGAAATCTAGCAGAATGAAATCAACTGGGAAATTCATCCCCAACTTCGGAGGTTACAGCTCCGCTACAAGTACTGTGCATGAAGTCTACTGCGAGCGTTCATACTCTCACAGTACGGAGGACACCTAAACTCTGCAGCACTCCAGAACTATTTCCATGTTTCCACTCACCCAGTTGCTATTTTTAGCACTGCTGCTTTTTCATAGCAACACACTGCTACTGTTTAAAAACATCTGAGTTACACTTGCCTGTCTTGCCCATCACATATTCGTTCTTGAAATGACTGAAGAACGTAATCACCTTTCATACATTAAGGTGTGCACACCTTTCAAACCTAGGTTTATCTTTTGATTGCTAAATATCAACATTCCTCCTCTCGATCTTCAAAAGCAGGATCTCCTGTTTGCTGATTAATTCCAGAACTGATGGTTCTCACTCTATGAGTGCCTAAGAAGTACTGCTTTAAGATGTAATGAAGTGTAGCTTATTGCATTCAGCTTTAAATTCTTGTCTTAATCAGAAGGGTATTGAATAAGGAGAAATCAAGTTTTTATCCCACAAGAACTTCCAGGAAAAGAGTCAAGTTTTGTTTGTCACAGAGTATACTGTAAAGCAGTGCTTGCCCTCTGATAATCTGATATAAAAGGTATCAATATGGTGAAAATGAAGAATGCTTTAAGTTAGTCCCACTGCTGCCAGTTTAACCAAATGCAGATGCAAGATGTGACAGCCCCAGAATTGAGTCCCAGCGAAGGTTCTCACAACAGCATTTATGAAAGTCTTGGAAAGTATTATTGACTGTTGTGCTTTTGCAAACAGCCACTTCACCACATCCCCCTGGGACACAAGGAAATCCAAGTACACACACCAAAAGCATCACTGTAATGTACACCATTAGTATTCTTAGCAGCAAGCAAAGGATGGAGCAGGAGGGACAACGAACTGCCATCCACTTGGCCCCTTTTCAGATGGTACAGTGTCAGGTAGCAAGGGCACGTTGGAAGCTCCCAGCCTTAAATCTATCTTAATATTTCTCATTTGCAGGAGTATCTTTATGAAAAGCTAGTCTAGGCACCTTGCTAGAGGCTTATGCTTTACAGTCAACTTTAACACATTATGTAAATATTGCTGCTTTTTGCATAGGCTCCTGATGTACACTTCCTGAAAGCACTGAAGTAATTTGCTAATTCCTGCATCAAGTCTTAGAAGAACAAGGGACTGATGATAAAATAAATATCCAGTAAAGAGCAGCGAGTGGACTGATGTATGTAATATGGCACCTTTTCTGATACCAGCGTAAGTACTAGTGAGTCCATTTCGCTTCTTCCTGTGACGATATAACCAGATGCTGAAGACCATGAGGATAATCCAACAGGCTGCGCCAATTCCAGCGATAAAGGCAGGCTGCTTTACTACATCAGAAATCTGCTGGGCTAAACTGACTTGATCATCTGAAGACACGGGGTTTCCATGAGAATCTGAAAAAAAGACACCCCAAATAGCCAATTAATTTGAATGAGCAACTGTAAAAGGCAACATGAAAAGAACTAGTTTAGCAGTTCCTGACAGATTACTTAAATCTTGTATTACACAGTCTAATGTACTCTTTGCAGTCTCTCACTTTGACTTCAATTAAAAGAGACTGAACATTTAAAAGGATGCAAAGAATTGAAAAAAAACCAATCCTGCCCTCTTGATGTGAATGAAAAGGCTAAAGGATAACTAAAAAAAATGAGTTAGGATTGGTAAAAACAGTCAAGCAGTCTCATTATTAATGAAAAAGCAGCCCTTCTCAAAGACAGTTTATCTTTAAATATCCTACATCAAAACAAAGAACATGTATTTTTCCATATTTTTTCTTAAATAGAGAAAGGACCTGTAAGAATCAGTCTTTTCTGCTCCTTCTGTACTGAAGTTTTGCAAGAACCTTCTAGGAACAGCAGTAAGAATATTCAGTTAGTGATCGATGCTTTCTGACTGAAATGAAGCAACCTGAAGACAAAATGCTACCTTCCTGACTTTCTACCACTACAGTGAGTGCCTACTGGAAATTCCATTACTGCACAGGGTGAAGGCAAGAATTCAAAACCTTTACTCAGATCTGATACTACTTTACACATTCCACAGCTCAGTCGTTGAAATACCCATTCTTATTCTTGTGTAAATCCAACAGTGAGATGCTTTTTACTGTGGGTAGTGACATCAGATTCAGAATGAGAAATCGGTGTTTTAAAGAGAAAGGTGCTTTTATTAATTCTATTAATATAAACTATATAAGAAATGAAAACCTATTTACTTAAAAACGAGTACCTTTTCTCTATGAACTAAGCAGTGAATAATTTTTATTTTTTTTATGATGATGTCTCGCATTATTTCAAAATATGCTTAAATAAAATACAAGAAACTGCAATACAAACAGGAGATGTAATCACACCAATACATACAAATAACAAACCTCCTCTGGGAACGGACACCTTTGTAAATGGGAAACAGTTAAATTAAGAACAGCTTCTTCCGAGGAATCACCATCCGCCTTTGACTGCTACCTTATCAGAAATTTTATTTCATATTTCAGGTCTCCATCTTCTATAATCCCAAGTGCACCACCTAGTTTTAAAGCTCACCAGGCAGACTCATTCTTTTCTTACTAATACACCCTTTGCGTCTGCTGCGTTTATAGATTTCATGCCTATTTGTGCAAGGTTAAGATGGGGTGCTTCAGATTTTATGGAGACAGCCAAGTGAAGTTCCACACAAGTGGCCAGATGGGCTTAAATGTATAAAGTATACTGTGACCAATGAATTAAATCTGTCACTCTCTATCTCATCTTTTGTCTCTTTGCAGCTGAGGCCACATTAAGATATGAAAACTTGCATGATCAGCCTCTTTTCAAAATAAGTAAGCCCCCTCTTTCTATATTTTTAAACAGCTACACTACCTTGTACATTTTAATGGAATAGAACAAAAGATTTCCAGAGAACCTGAATAAATTTAGAAGACTGACAAATATTTTTTCTCTAATCCTTTAAACATATATATATTTAAAACAATAATCACAAACTCAAAAGAAAAATAAGAATGTTTTTAAAACGTGTCAACAATTCAGCCACACAGAAAGACAGTACTTCTGTACACAGAAACATTTTGCATTGCTCAGTCAATGCATGTCTGAAGACTACAAAATACTGAGGAATCTCTTAAAACATTTACTGTTCTCATTTTTAATTAAGATTCGTTTCATAGTATCCTTTTGCTAGCCATTGCAAACATAAGTACAGCATAATAATATATTGCTTTTAAGAAACTAGGCTTATGGCACATTGTACATAGGTGGACTGCTAGTGCCATTATGCTAAACTAGTTCATATATATTTACACACATAGTGAAGAGTAAAATGCATATGTGTTCATGTACAGCCATATAAACACCATCACAGAAAAGAAGATGGAGGGGCTTCCAAGAGGCCACATTTGACCCACACATGCCCTGCTCCTCTTGTAATTAAAAAAAAAAAGTACGATAAATATAAAGCAACAGGAATGAAATCTAGTGCACCTCTCATTATTAAAAATTTCCAGGAAAATTATCCTTGAAGCCTTTCTTTGTGCAGGGCTTCTTACCTCTACATATTAATCCTGTGAGATCCTGAATGATCAGTCAGGAAAAAAGCTCTTGAACAAAAAAAAGTACTTTTTCTTCATTCTAAGAAATTTCTAGAAGCTTTGACTGAGATATAAACGCTTCATAATCAACATTCCTGTTCCTGCTTGCACTCCTCGGGGAGAGGTGCCAAAATAATAAGCGAACATAAACATTCTACAGCAAAGCGCATCCTACTGCCAGAGCAGCAGCCGCAGCATTTAATGTACTTGAAAATGCCTCAGAGTTGTTGGAGCAGGCTGATCTCACAACTCCCCGAAACCAGCATATTATCCCAGTGACTCATCCCTTCTCCCACTCCAAGATAAGAGCCTTCTTTTTAATCACAGATAATATTGCTCTGGCTATTGCTCACAAGTTATCCGATTTGACTGTCTTGAAGCTCCAATTTTCAATCTTCAATAAAAACTAATTAAAATTTACATTAACAAAAACTGGGACCTCTAATTCTCTAATGTTAAATATTCATATAAATAACAATAGTGTAAAACCTAACCTTTAAGTTGCTAAATGATAAATTAAATATTAATATGCATTGAGATTGGAATGCCAAAAAAGATGGGAAATTCCAGGTTCACAGGTGTGCGAGCAACCTTAACTTTGCACTGTACATGTACAACCTATGGAATGGTACTTTTCCACAAGTCTGTCTCATTTAGTATACAAAATGTACAAGCAGTAAGTAGGAAGGTCTAAGTTTTGTTGACATTCCTAATTCTGGAAATTCAAATCTTACAAAACACCTGGAATCTGCCTGAGCGTTCTGTCTGAGCTTTTCCTCAAATATATGTGCATGACGAAATACGAAAAATTTTTGGTAAAATACTGCCAGGTTAAGAATATGCTGTTTCATCTTCTTTCCAGTTATACGTTTCCAAAATTGGAAAAATACTTGTTTTGCACTTCAATCTTATAACATACAGTTTCAGAAAACAGCACTGACCTGGTTTGGAAGGGTTTGCTGTGAGTAGAAAAAAAAAAGATTACTTTCTATGAGTTGTTTGCAGGCTATGAGGAAAAATAACAACAAGAAAACCTTACAACTATCACATTAGGATTACTTTAAGGGCTGACAGAATAAAATCCCTGAAGGCATGCTAGCTAGTTCATAAATAGCATCTCCTAAAGGAAGCAATTAGAATAATAAAGATTCAATGAGACTTTCTTACATTTTGTACACTTGAGACATCCATTGGTTGAATAACACACTAAACATTTATATAACTGTGCAGACATCTCTTACTAAATAACTGCATACCATATGTTCATACAAATTATTTGTTTAAGTGTAACATTAACTGCAGTTGTGGGGCTTTTCAGACCTGGTACCCTGAAGAAAAACGCTGCAATATGTTTCAATTTCTCTACTTAATTGCCAACAAGCACAGGTAGTAATGCCAAGCTATCGCAGGTAGTATCCCATCACTGTACAAAAGTTAGGTTGGAGACAAGCAAAAAATAACCTCTGATAATTCTCACTTTTCTGTACAGAGCATTTTTGTAATCGATATCCTGAAGTTACAAGACAAGAAAAAGGTTCTATAAAAACTCTATGATTTTTCTCTCCACAGCACAGTATTATAAACGCAATATAGCAAGCTAGCTGTCGTGATATACACTTCTTTCTCCAAAGCCTAAAGTTTTTGGAAGTTTTCCTTATGTAAAAGATCAACTCTTCCTTGAAAACGAACAAACCAAGTGTTTTCCAGCCCTTGGAATTCCATATAAAGCTTTAAAAGGTCATTCAAAAAATCCAGAAGCCTCAAGGGGAGTGTTTTAAAGAGACACATGATTTTTCAGTTGATCTCATGATTTTAAACACTGAAAGGTGATTTTTGAATAAGAAGTAAGCGTATTGCTGGCTTGTCCCTGGTGGCACAGGAAGCCTGGGGTACCGCAGCTCAGTGAGCTGCTTCATGTCAGCTGAGACAGGGAAAATGAAAGAGCTTTGAGCTTACAATTTGTACCTGTCTTTGTAACAGGTTCAGTGCGTGCACAGGGTCAGTTATCACAGCTCGGCTGATGCACGGGGCTGCGACTGCATGCCTCAGCTCTCAGAGAATCCAATGTCTCCTGTCCTCCCCTCTTGTTCTGGAAGGCGGCCTCTGAAAGGTGAAGCTTCCTCCTGTCACACACGAGGCTGAAACACTCCCCAGGCATTTCTCACAGGCACAAACCCAGGAGCACTCCGCACAACTCAAGTATGAGGCCACCGTGCATTAGAGTAGGCTATGCTGGGGGTAAAAAACCTCTTATCTGGATGCTTCAGAGCCAGCCACAACCCAATCTAACATTTTGTAAGAGAAACACATTGTAAGGAGATAGACATTTGATTTTACTGAGTTCTTAAAAAAAATAAAATATCTAAATTACATAGTATATTACATAGTATATTTCCAGACACAGAATTTTTAATTAGATTTTTTTCTTTTTTTTTTTTAAAAGAGTAAACACTGTACTAATTCAGATGTCAGGAAAAGATTTCCTGAAGGAATCCCAACTGGGATTAGGGACAGAAATGCAGCAATGTGAAGCTGTCAGTGCTAAACGTGCACATAGGTACATGGAGCCATGTACCTTTCTAAAAGTAGCATCCTTACTCCTCTTTCCTCCCGCTCCCTGGCCTCCCCTCTCTCTCTAACCATGTAATTTATTGCTGGTGAAAAGTGCCAGCTGATGACACCAACAGATTAATTTTTTTTCTTCAGAAGAGCTACCAGAAAACTCCAGTGTCTGCTCCACCCCCATGCAGGGAGCACATCCAAGAACTAAGAATGTAATCCCTTGTGGGGGCTGTAGAGGAACTTGTATCACAGGATAGAGTTAGGTAAACTGCAGTCATTCTTCTGACTTGATGATTTTAGGTTAATCTCTGTTACTAAAGTGTACTCCTTTTAAATTTAAGTACTAACTTTCAGTAGCCTGTAGTTCACGAAAGAACTGTAGGTATTTCTTTGTGCTGCTTCTTGCGCTGTGTGGCATGGATCTCCACAGGACTCTCATGTCTTTGCCATGTAACAACCAAATTGTGGGACTTTTACTACGGAATATGTAGATTTGGCCATGCCACTTAACTAGAAGCAAGCAGTAGAGACTACGAAAGCAAACCCAAGCCACTAGGAAACATGTGGATTCTACCAGACTTGCACATCTAAACACCCTCTGAGGTGTGTGATTGCCTCACGCTTTCTAACACAGTGTCAGTAAAGGCCAAGAATCCAGAAGCAGACAGAATCTCACCCTGACACAGTCTCATTTGTTTCTTATTCCAGTTACAAAAACCTCAGTGTCGTTAAGTTCCATTATAAAAGTCACCTTTATTTAACATTTGCTTATCATCACCGAGAAAGGAAAAAAAAGTGTTTATGAAGTCTTTGATTTTGAACATCACGGTTAACCTATTATTTTACACTCATAAGCCTCATTAATTTTAAATATTCAAAATCTAAGCCATCTAGAACAAACCTGACTTTGACTGGAAAGCTGGCTATAGGAAGCTGTGAATGGAAGCTGGCCTGTAGGAAAGAACAACCCAACAGCTATGGGATTTTTGCACATATTAATGGAATATTATACAAACTGCATAACTTTGGCATAAAATCTCTGTTAATGCAATTGGGAGTCATATGCATGTATAAGTTAAATAAGTTAGATGACCTTCATTTTAATAGCCAAGAAAATCTACATACAATTTTCCAGTGAATATGTTAGTCAGTTGGTCTTGTTTTCACATGCAGTAATTAGAGATTTTTTAAATATGAAATGTGAAGTAACAGAAAGATCTACTAATGATACAGAGATACACGGGACATAAAGTCCAAAGCAATATGCTGAGTTTGCTTTCACAATTATACACTGTAATGATAAGGTATTTTGACACAGGCATACTGGTAGAGCAGCATACGACTATACGCAAACCTACTTTAAATAATCTTTGGCTAACCAACAGTGAAGGTTCATTTCTCCCGGACACAACCAGGAGCAGTGCCTCTGATCCGCATTTATGACAGAGAGATGTTTGGTGCAAATGAAGCCAGAAGGTCAAGATTATTGTAAATCATCTGTATACCTCTTTTTCTTGTATTCAGGGTATTCACTAGCTTTCACACACAGTGGGTATTTATTGAGTCTAATTTTAGCATGCTCTTGTTTTTATTGCTTCCATAAAGATAAAATCTGATCAAGACAAATTATTATCCCTGAAGTGAGCCAACACTTAGTGATTCCTACTTCCCTACATATTTTATTACACCAGTCTTAAGTGTGAAAACACAGTTTGAAAAAACAATACATAAAAAGCACGGATGAACTGGGAGAGTAAAACAAACCTGTGTTGTTGTAATCCCGTCTTTAGAATGCGGTTCTAAGGCAAGTTGAAAACCAGAAATGCCAAATCCTGCTACTCCAGAGATCAAGTAACACTATCTATTTCACTTGCCTTGAAAGTATTTCTGGTGCCATAAAAGACAAAAGCAAACAAACAAAAATCATTGAAGCCAATAGGTAGGATTACCAGCAGGCTTACCTAATTGGATAAACTGAGGATCACTTTTCACTCCAGGTCCTGCCCCAGTACTTGCTGCCACTTCCACACTGTATCGAATACCAGGAACCAGGGAGGGAATGACTACAGAAAAGGTGGAACCGTCCACTGTCTTGTTTATATGGTATCGACTTTCATTGCCAAGACACCAAACCTGCAGGGAAGTAAGTGTACGGTACATATAAATGTTCAGAATTCAACACCAAAGGGTAAGTAGAAGGAAGGATGACACATCCTTCTCTGGTGGATAAAGAAATTTATAAGAAATTTAGAATTTGTCACTACTCTAGCATTTGCAGTTATGGATTGCTCTCCTAGACACCGTATGAATACTGAAAAGGCATTTCTTGTTCCAAAGAGCTGCTCCAGCTACTAAAATTATTTAATGGGTTTATTGTAATTCATTCACAATTCAACCAGTGACATCAGTTCTAATCAAACTAAAAGTGCTAGTAACAAGGAACAAATAAGGAAAGACCTGTAGCCAAGAATCGTTCACAACAAAGTAAAAGCATTCAGTTAAATCAATTTGCAATTCTCTTGTTCAGGAATCATTCGTCAAGCAAGGCTTTCTTCACTCAAGTGCAAGGACAGTCTTTCATCACATGACGTCATGCGAACCAATGGCATGCTGGAATCTTTTTTCTTCAAAGTGGCAGCAAGAGGCAACGATTAAGTAATAAGCCATCTTCTGCTGAGAGATAACAGCATGATATCAGATCTCATTTTTTGGTTAAGTCAAGATGCTGGTCTAATGACTGCAATCCATCACTTTATATCATTGATATTAAGTGATTAGGAGAAATAATACAAAGAGATATTTTTACTTCTTTGCCTTACACCATTCATGTAGCAAATATAATGTTTTTAAAGAGTATGGTTGAACTCTCAACTGCTATGAAAGGTGAAGTAGCAGCTAATCTAGATCTGCTAAAAAATTGATGAAGCTGTGTTGATTTCCTTTTTATTCCCTTTCCACAAGGGTACTGCTCTACAACGAATATTTGTCTAGAAAGTTAAATTAGTTAAATTCAGTACTTTATCTGCACAGAAGCAAACTTTCCTGAGAAGAGCTGGACCTGTCCTGATTGTACGGGGGGAGGAGATTTTGCTTTTAACATATGGAGCTCCTAAAAGATTCAGTACCCAGAAAGTCGCTCTTAATCCCTTTGTGCAATTCTGCTGCTGAGAAGATCACCAGGTGAGTGAGATAGAGCTTCAGGTGTAAAACAATCCTAGGGCCCTTTCCACTTGGACACTGGAAATTTTATTTCAAGTTCTGGACATTGTAAGACCCTTTTTCCATCTCTGGATGCCAAGGACTGAAACAAGGCTAGTGGAACACTGAGGATCTGAAATATATTATATACCTCTTTGAAACAGAATCCTAATACATAATTTCTATTGTAGAGCAGGTCAGAGCATATCAGGAGAAGAAAATCTCCTTTTAATATTCTGATACTAAGTAGAGACTGTTTCAGTCAGTAGTAATAGTATAATTATTGGTAATATTAGCAATATTGCTCCTAAATCCTAAAGGATAGTCCATGGAAATGTTCTTACATAAGTAAGAGCTTGATAAAGTGAGGAGAAAAAGAATTAAATCTACATTTTGACTTATATAATTTTCACAGAAATTGTTACTGCCATCTTGTACAATGGTGTATATACAAACAATAAAAACAATTTATCACGTACTTGTAACTCTGCACTACTAATTCACAAAAAACATTTTCCTCTTAGGTGCTCCAATACATGGAGAAATTCACAAAACAAGAACGTCAGGTTAAACATGAGGTTGCTCAGTACTTCCCATACTTAATTTGAGTGCATACCTACACAGGCAAGTGAAAATCGAACTTTTAGAATGTTATGAAGGAAGGAGGAATTACATTTTAATACATACGTAAGTCAGGAAAGAATTAGTATAACGAGACAATTTCTAAGTTCAAGCTACGGAAGAAGGGAATGACTTCTGCTATAATTTAAATTTCTGGCTTTTTGTGTGTGCTACTGACACTTCTTCAATTAAGGCAGTATCCTCCTTCCTATTTATTGCAATCCTTTAATTAAAGTCATTCTGTCTGTTTTCTGCATATGGTGAAAAACACAAAGGAAATACATGCAGATCTGAAACGTGCCAGTCTGCCACCTACTGCTACATAAACACTAACAGTCGCTTGCTCCTACACCTGACAGCTTATTACCTCTGAATGCTGGGAGGTGTGTTAGGTATTATATCCACATGGAAATGTGAACTTCCTGACTTTTATTGTTTTGTCCTTACAACCTTAACAATCCTCTGATGCAGTTTTTTGATGAAAGTAATTCCATCTCTTTATCTTTTATGTAAATAAAATAAGTGTGAAAGTAGCGAAAGTATTTTTTTTCCAATTATATTATATGGCTGAAACTAAGCCATAAACTGTTTTCTTTTCACCAGTTGACCAGGTTCTGAAAAGTGTTCTATTATTCAAAATCGACCATGAAGCTTAGTGATCTCTTCCCTTTCCCATTTCTACTACGGAGGAAAAGAATGAGTTTTGAAGGTTAGGAATATATGTCTACAGCATAGTATTTTAACCTGAAAAATAGCCAAGATGTTCTCCTTCGAAAAATTTCATCAATAATGCCTATTTGCAGGAAATTGAAACCAAAGATCCTGCCTCTCTGTGGCTATAAAGCTTACTTAATATCCACGACTAAACATTTAGAACGTCTGTAGCTTGCTTAGGAAAAATAATATTCATTTACTTTGCTACGTAAATTGTTGCAAAACAATCTGAACTGAAAATAAATACCGTGTATGTTGCTAAATGAACATCACATAATAAATACTTTATAATATACTTATAAGTTGTTTAAAATTAAACAGAATAATGAGAACTGTATTTGTGTGAAAGAAAAGAAAAAATTCTATACACTAAATGCTTTTATTATTATACAAGCACATTCCTCAGTGGAAAATTTTCCATTTGTTTTAACTAGCTAGTTATGCATAATTTACTCAGATCTTAACACTGTTAATTATTATCCCTGAGCTTTTCAACTCATTAAGCCTGTTTATATTTACTACCTTGGCTAACGTCTTTGAGTCATAAAACCGTTCTCAAACAGGTATGGCTGCCTCTCTACTTGAGTGCGCACTTCTCAGGTAATAATGAAGGCAAGAAGGTAGTTGTTTTATAATTAAGAGTGTTGATCCTTTGCTTTGATTTATGGAGGCTGTTTTAATTGCCTTCTACCATCTAGACAGAATTACTAAGTGTGGAGTTTGAAGTAAAGAAGTGATTTTTCCATCTCATTTGCTCTGACTAACCAGGAGATGGAGCCAAGCATCCACGAACAACCTCATCTGCCACTAGCAGGCCAATACCCGCTCTGCCAGCGGAGCAAGGCACCCCAGCCGCTGTACCTTATATTCTTGAACCATCCCGTTCTGGTTGTCCTCGGGGGGCGGCTGCCAGGTGACCACAATTGCCGTCCCATTCCCATCGTTCTTAGTTACTGAGACACTCTGAGGTGGAGCACTAGGAGCTGTTCGTTTGGAAGGAAGGATTGAACAGTTAAGTTCATCACATGCAGAAGGAAAGTTTTCTTAAGAGGATGATTGTTTCCGGGCCACACAAATGCTTTCCTTTATGTCCCACCCTTAACTGAGGGCAGTTCTTACCCACATGATAAAACGACACAAAAGGAAAGTGATGTGGACGTAAAATCAGGCTCCTGAGTTCTGGTGCAGTCTTGCTGTGCAGCACAGGAAAAGGCTCTTCTGTTGCCAGACTCAAAAGCCAGATATCCATTACCTGAATGTCACAGTCCTGAGGACTGAATTCCTCATCGGTCTCAAATCATCTCACTCAGGATCAACCGTTTTGAAAACTAAAGTCTATAAATTGACCCCAATAAAATGACACATCTGGGATCCTCTAGTGTGTAAATAATCATAGAATCACAGAATGTGTTGGGCTGGAAGAGAACTTTAAAGGTCATCTAGTCCAGCCTCCTGCAGTGATAATGAGTAATACAAATTTTATTAAAATTGGGACAGAATTTGTTAGCATTAATGCATTTGTAATTTATGTTTTGCATTTTAAATAGTCTTTATAAAAACTGGGTGCTTAGCAGATGCTTAGGATGAATGCAGTTAAGCACACCTCTTGAACTACTAGCAGCAATAAACCAGAGCTACATGGCATTTATACTGGGGAGGGCTGCACATCTAAGAGACACACCAAAATCCCTATTCAGAGGTACTGGCCACCTTGCATACTCATTATGCCTAAGCAGCAACAAAAAGAAGAGCTTCATGAACCTTGTCTTTTTAGCACATGTATGAGATGGAAATATATAATTTAGTCCACTCTATCTGTTGCCCTCATTCATCTTTTCATTTTGTCTTACTGATTGATCCAGATATAAAAGACTTCAAAAAATGTGGTTTCCATTCCCTCAGCTATAGTGCTTTGATGATTTCTGTGCTGTCTGCTATCTACTCAAGATAGTGATTAGCAAGTGCTTGAATCTGACAGAAGTCACTTGTGACCAGACCATGAACTCAGCAGGGAGGAGTGCACACTGCAGTGAAGATAAAAAGCGCATTTCCCATTGTCTGTTGGAGGGGATTTTTGCACATTCCTCTCTCTCTGTCTCTCGCCCGTGGTTCTGAATATTTACTTCTGTGTCACCAAACAATTCACATAATGATCAGTCCAACACAGCCGCCTCTGCCGCAGACTGCTGTTCTCAAACAGCATGCACTTCAAACAAAATCAAATGATGAACATGTCAGAGGAAAGCAGGCCAGACTACTACTTCAAAAAGGAAAGATGAAGACAGTCTGGCTCCTACTTGCCTTCTTCCAGGGTCTTTGCAAATTTAACTTCGCTATCCGCTCCCTGAAACTCATTAAAAAAAGGGCGGGCCTTGATCTCGTAGTTAACACCCTTCTTCAGCTCCGGAATGATAACGCTGTTTTTGGTTGGAGTCTTGACTTCGAAGATTAGCCATTCTGACTCTCCATAGGATGCTGGTGTAGGCCGGTACAGGATTTTATACCCTTGAATATACTGGGATTGCTGGTCCACCTGACAAGAGAGCAGAACACAGAACACATCCTTTAACAAATGTGAAACAGGAATGATGCCTGTGATACTATGTATAGGCCTGGGACTATTAATTTGTTTTATACAAAGTAAACAACGATGATGAAGCAGATAAAGGCTCCTTGCAGTACAGCAAACTACAGGCCTGGTTCACAAGTGTATCAATCTGTTCGATGCTGGTAGAACTGTGCTGGTTTCCATGGATTTATGAAGGCATTAAAGGGAGATAAGAGACTTGTATAATATGCCCCAGCTCCATGAAATGAGCAGCCTTCACATCTGCAGAGTGACAGAGCTCAGCACAGGCCAGACATCAGCCCACCCGAATGCGCCCGGCGGGGCAGGGGACACACAGGGAAAGGGGGGAGGGCAAGGGCAAAAGATCTACAGCTTCATCACTCTCAGTGATGAATACAGAGATCAAAGATTGAGCCTGCCAACTCTCCTGAAGTGTGGAAGCCTCCCAAAAACCCATGAAATGAGCACTGCTTCCTGCCTGCTTCCTTCTGGAGAAAGGGAATTGAAAGGGCAGCCAGCTGGCACTATCTCCATCGCTGGGACGAGGCTGGGCTCTGTCAGAGGGCAGATTTGGACAAGCATTTCCTCCATGGCCACCCGCTCAGCGGGAGGCTCCTCTGCTGCAGGGTAAGGGCTGTTCTGAGAAGGCTCTGAACAGGCTCATATAAACCTCAGTATGGTAACACAGATGAGACTTGGAAAAGCAGATCAAAATGATACTCAGTGGTCCTGAGTGCTTTTTAGACCAAAGTCCTTTTATATCACATGTATGGAGAAAGAGATCTTAACGCAAATGAGGGTAGGTCTCAACATGTTTGGCTATAGCTGAAACAGAAAGCTATCTTACAGAAGTGGTCTCTCATGGAGCATCCACTTTCTTTTAACTACCAGCTTCAATTTCTGATGAATAAGAAAGTCCAATAACAAGAACAAGAAATGTTTTAAAAGCGCATCAGATTTCCGGTATTTTGAAAAAGCTCATACAGTGATATAATAAAAGTGTTAGCTTGCAAATTTACTCCAAAAAGCAACACATTTCAATATTAATAATCACATGAAGAAGTGTGTGTGTTAGCTGAAACTGAGGTAATGCTTATTTTTGAAATTGCAGAGAAGCCACAGGCCACCCAAGAGACTGACAAAACTGCCTGTCTGGAAAAGGTTGCTCTGTAAGTAAAGGTCAAACAAAATTGTGCTAGGAACCTCAAAGATGTTTTAACGTTATTAGTTAAAACAGGAGATTGCCTGATGCAGGTGGCTGTGCTGCTCGTGACAGTGTAATTACTGAGCAGCAGATGTTATTTGTACTTTTGCATCACCAAGGAGCTCTGGTTGTGGACCAGGACTCCATAGGGGTAGGGCTCTTCTATAAAGTCAAAATGCTTTTTGTTCCAATTCAAAATGGTCTGCTGTGGCATGGCAGCGGCTACACCCTGTGTTCTCCTACACTGTCCCTGCCAATACACCGATGTGTTCAGATGGAAGCCCTAAAAAGACCTCAAAACTCACTCCCTTTGGATTTATTCCTGCAACTGGTGTAACTGTCCCTCGTTTTGTCTTCATTCTGCACTCTATTTTAAAACTGCTCTTCCTTGAATTACGTTTTCTTATCTCACTGCTTGCTACTTGCAGTTTCCTGCAGTGTTCTATCTCTTAATTTCTACCTTGATGGCCAAATGTCTCCCATAGTCAGCCACTTCCAAGCTTTACTCTCACTGCAGCCTCAGCCATGTAAGCCAGCTCGGATCTTTTTTACATGTGTTCCCATTCCCCTTGCTCCAGGACTCCTACAGCACTGTTTCCTCACTCTCTCATTTCCTCTGCGATATCCTCCACGCTGACAACTCCCTGCTTCCTTCTGCCACAGCAACGTCAACACAACATCTGAAAACTGTTTGCCCTTTTCGTCTCTTCTCCCTGTACTGCGCGTGCTCACAGCACTGTGGGAAAAGACAGGTTCACATGAGGCTATTTGGGTTTGGGTGTGTTTCTCAGCATGCATGTAGGATGGAGGTTAACGCTTTCAAATACAGTTATGCATTTATGTCTCTCCACTGCTGACTGACAGGGAAGTGCCCATGTTATCTCATTAGAGGACTGATACACTTCCTACCGAAAGCAGTGCAAAATCTTCAAATGATATGACTTAAGAAGACTTTGATCAGTCCTTTAGCTTTCAGAGGACACTGAAACTCTCACCATATGGAAAACAGCGCTCTCTATGGAGACATAAAATGATAAAAATACGACAAAATTTAGTGAAGTAGGAAAGCAAAGCCCAAGTAGCACTCATTCCAGAGAAAAACATTTGCAAGCAAACAAACTACACAGCTTCTTAAAGTCTGACTCCACTGCAGTACTATCCAGCAGTATATATAACCACCTTCATGATATGCATTTATACTTACAGTCCAATGAACTTCAATTGAGGAGGAAGAAAGGATAGTAGGGTTGTGCAGATGTAGCACCACATCACCTAGTTCTCTCTGGACCTGCTTGTGATCCACACCTTGACTTGTTGGTGGAACATCTGTAATAATTTAAAATTCCATTCTCACAATTATATATGATTGTTAAGATAAGTATCATAAATACAAATGGACATATCGTACAGTACATGATACTATCACCAATAAACTTTACCCTATGTACTTCCCAATTATGTAAGAAAAAATAAAGTATTATCCTGAAGAAATCACCAATGCTCAGGCAGTAGCAACTGCTTAGGTAGTACCACTGCAGTTTCTTCGACAGAGAAACAGGAGGGAAATGCTTCATTAATAGAAAAACCACACTCGGGGATATCTTTGGTAAACGACTACAGGAGCATCTCTTTATTCTTTGCTGCTGGGAGAAGAAAACGTTCTATCACCCACTGCAAATTCCAAGAGACCAGGAAATGTATAAAGAATGGCAAAAGCAGAACCTGTATCTTCAGACGAATTCATGGGCAAAATAAATGTAACAACAGAAGAAAAATAAAATGAGTCATGTGGCTGCAGCTTCTCTGACAGCAAATGATTTCTGCAAACAGGAGGCAGAGCACAGATGAGTACTGTCTGGCTTTTCTGACATTTGGTCTATCTTACAGCTAAAAGAATTGTTCATAGGCATGAAGGGACAAATTCCTCTCAAAATACACAATAGTACAATGGAAACACACATTTTCTGCATGCAGAGACCTTGAAAAACATATTTAAATGAAACAGCATGACTGTCAGACATGTATAAAATTTACAGAGCAATCACTAATAAGGTGTCTAAAATACCTACGTACTACGGACAGCAGACTAATTGTGGACAGTAGATTAACATAGTTAATCATGTATCTCTCTCTGATCACTTAAACAAATATGTTGACTATGGCTAAAAATCACAGACCTGGAAATTAATGAAAAGTACTTACATTTATCTAGTTCCAGATATAGAGTAATGCATTACATAAACTTTGCTCCAGACTCCTACTTCCCTGCCTGACCTCTTCTAGTGACAAAGCAAGATCATAAAATCTTCAAGGGTCCTGTTCTCTGAATACTCTATCCGCATGTAGCATGTTCTGTCGAACAGTCAATTTATCAGACTATTTCCCTCTCTGCGAAGTTTGAAAGCATTAAAGACAGAAGCTTCTGCCTAGAGAGTAGCTGAAACATCACCCTGCTTACAATGTCACAGGAAAGCCATCAGAATAATTAATTCTATCTTTGCTACTCATAAAAGATGAGTCATCAACAATATGAATCAAACTATTAATAGGCTCAGCCATTTGCACATCTGTGCTATACAACAGTATGTGTAAATTCAGCTGGAAGCTTCAGCAACTGTCAGTGAGAACACCTAAGTCTGCTGTTAATGTTTGCAAAGCATAAAGATGAAGGTTGGTTAGGTTCCTGGTCTGTACATGCATTTAGGACAAAACTATACCACCCTCTACACAACAGAGAACTGGGAAATTTCTTAACATAACTTACACAAAACTAAAATGGGATTGGAGGAAGAGTGGAAGTGCTTTAAGGACTTGACACTTGATTACATTTCTTACTGTTGATGAAAATTTTAACTATTGGCTGTGATTCTCACTCAGGCTTTGTGTGGTTCTCAGGTCTTCAGATCTCCTAGATGCCCACAGGACTGCAAGGCTTTCCCATGCCATTATAAACCAGTCAGTCTGGTTGAGTGAACAGAACACTGCCTCATCCGCTGTTTATCTGAGTTAGGTCGGTAATCAGTTCATTTCATAGAATCATAAAATATTTAGGGACTGACAGACAGACCTGAGACCTCATCTCATTTCATCTCCAGGAATGAAACTACACTGCATGGAAACTGGACCTCATGCAGAGCACTGCATCCTGTCCACATAACAACATGTTACCCTATTCATAGGAACACAGAAATTACTGAAAGGTTACAAAATCTCTCTTCGGTAACATACTTGGGAACACAGGTAATCCCTATTTTCCACTGGCCACTGTTTATGTTTATCCAATGAAATTGTCACCCATCAGGAGAAATGCATAACATAAAAGGACAGCAAAGAGAAATTGTTCACTCTGCTGGGGAGTGAGAAACATTTGCTTTGAAACCAGCTTCAGAAAAAATGAAGTGTCACCAAAGGAAAATGCTTTATTTCCTTTAAGGGACTTCCTTTGAAAAACAAACACATACTCACTTAAGCAAACAAAGAAACAAACATACAACACTGTCACTCTTAAAAAGTCAATGGGTCAACTTCTCCAGTAAGTAGGAAGGGCAGAAAAAAAAGGAAAGATGATGTCTATCATTTCTACTTCAAGAAAGAATATACCCAGTTTTTCCCTTCTTAAGAATCTAAGTATTTCTACTGGAAAAATGCAGGTAGAAAAGCTGCAATGAGTTATTTCCTGTACATCATCATAAGTGGCATTTATTTTCTACCATGAACACAAAGTTATTTTAAATTTTACATAGCTGAGCTTCAGCCATAGCTAGAGCCAGCAGAGGACTCCATCTACTACTACCCAGCTTTTTCTTCCACTTGGATATCTGTAAGCATGGTCTCTCTTCTCTACTATTCTACTTTCAGTTGTACTGTTGAAATACTCATAATATATTGTCAAAATCTCTAATTACTGGCTCACAATGCCCAATTCCTTCAAATTTTCAACTTCTCTCTTTCCTAAAGCAGCAGAAACCAACATAGATTATGTGGTGTTTCCTCCCTCTGTCTGAGTCGTAAGCCTCATTTGATCCACTGGACATAATAAAAACATTTCCATGGAATTTGAGGATTTGTATGATAACTTGTAAAATCAGAGATTACTTTTGTTGCTAAGAAGAGCTATTCTGCAAGATGTAGCTATCTTTGGATAAGAGATACTAGGGATCTCTTAGGTAATGCAAGCAGCTTTCGGACTCTGCTATAGAGAAATGCTAGTTTAAACCTTGTGTTATATGGATATGTAGACAGTCAAAAGCTACCAGAATTGCTGCATCTTGGCATTTCTCAGCCAACTTATGAAAGCCACTGTGGACACCCAAAATGTTCAGTATCAAAAGCTTACCTTGAGTTTTCACTGGATCAGATATTTGGCTTGGGTCGCTGAGTCCATATGCATTAGCTGCCCTCACAAGGAATAGATAAATTGCATTAGGTTTTAGCCCTTTAACTGCATAACTCTCTGTTTTCACATTTTCAGCTACAGTTTGCCAGCTGCTACCAGATGCATGGCTAAGGATAAAACACATGAAATGGGAGGTTAGCGCGCTTCTTTAACAACATACTATATATAAGCTTAAGTACAGCGAGACCACGTGAGACTGACATACCTGAAGGCCTCAATTATGTAAGAGGTTGGTGTTGCACCTGAATTCAAATTAGGTTGCCATGACAACGTTACTGTATTTCTGCTGACATCTGTAACCTCGGGTTTTGATGGAGCACTAGGAATCAAGTTTGGGTCAGTGGGTCTTGGTGGCTGCACTGGGACTCCAAACTCTAACAAAAGAGAGAGAACTGCTGAGTATAGACAGGAAGCAGCTGTAAGCTAAATGCTGTTCACATCTGCACTGGCAATTTATGACAGTCAGATAACTTCTGCATTTCAATTTCTGACTTCATGTATTTCCTCCACGCAGAGAAACCCTAATTGATTTACCTTGGACCTCTATGTATGCACTCCATGTAGCTTCGCCACTTGGGGTTGAAGCAACGCAGGTGTACCGACCAGTGTCACCCAGCTGAGTGGGAAGAGAGGAGAATAAATATTTGAAACAATCAGACACTCAGTGGGCTAGAAAAGTAATTACAGCTCTCTGTGTTCCCCCATGAATATGGATAAATGTTACTAGGCTGCAAAAACTTAGAACTAGAAATTTCTTCCATTAGAAGTTATGATTTTGTGTGATGCAGAATGAAAATGGATACTTATTTCTGAGCATTCGTTAAAGAACTGGAAAAAAAGCAGATTCTGATTTAAGGTTACCCTTTCTGTAATGAACAAACCAAAAGCCAATTGTTTCAGCCTTTATTCCTTACTCTGCAGAGGTCCTAACAAATAATCTGTGAAGGAACTCAGATGACAAGACTCCATGGAATTGTCAACCTCCTGAATAAATAATGCCCACGGATTTATCTGGACTGCAGCACTGCAGAGCATGTCATCCTTAAAGCCTAAATATTGCACAGGGCCTTCTACATATGGGGTTCCCTGTATTAGTATAAACTCCAATCTGCAGCAGACTCAAAAAGGGGTCTCCATATGCTATTCTCATCCAGTTCCGAACATTGGATTATTTGCCCATATGTGGCTTAATCTCATTTCAAACAAGTTTCCTTTTTTTTTTCCTCCCCAAAAAAAGAAATGCTATCCTCCTAAGGCCCCATCCTCAGCAGATGAGGTGAATGGAAGCGCTCACAAACCAGAGGTTCAAATTCTAAGGCAGCGTAACTTGTAATTGGTAACAGGGCAACTCTAGGAAACACAATAAAGTGATGGATTCAGCCTAATTTTTTTCAAAAATTACTACATTTCAAACCACAGAAAACATAGCAGAGAATAGCCAGTATGCTGAAACTTCATGACATTTAAAAACGTTTTACAGTGTGTGAGACATGACCAGCAATACTGACCAGGTACTTGCTAGAATTCCCTAAAGAAGCCAGGTATTTGAAGGTGGTTTAGCATTTTAAGCTATGTTTACACTGTAGACTGAGTATGTTTACACTTTAAAAACTGTTTTTAAAAAGCTGTGTACATGGCTGTATTACTGCAGTATGCCAAACAAAGGGCTTTCTTTATAAACATGTGAAATAATTAGATCATTTCAATCCATTAGTATGAAAGCTCAAATAATTTAAGGATTCATCTTACTGAAATACAAGTTTTGCTTTCCCCTTCATGTTTTATGTACCAAATAATTCCCTTAATTAATACAGCTTAAAATCATTTTTCCTTATGAAATCTGAAATAATGTGCTGTAGGCAGAATAAGCCTAGGTGTTAAGCATAAAGAATGAACTGTCTGAAAGCATGAAGTATCAGATATTTTAATATATTTATTTATTTAAGATTTCATTAATTCTAAATGTAGGATTTACTACATCAAAAGTACTCAGAGGAGAAAAAAAACAAAGTGAAACAACACGAAACCTGTCTGCCAGTTCAAGCTACCTTGGCGTATCGGATCTGTAACGCTCCTGTCTCCAGCTGCTTGATGCGAGAGTCCTGGGTAGAAATGAGGGTCCCATCCTTTTTCCAGAGGATAGTGGGCATTAAAGTGCCTGTGGCCACACAGTTCAGTACTAAAGTACCATCTACAGCTACAGTCTGATTCACAGGACCATGCCGAATGACAGGGGGAGGCCGGTCTGCAATCACTGCCAGAAGAAACAACAGGAAAGACATTTCTGCAACTGGAAGCAATTTCCTAATCATCTAAGCAACAGCAGTTGCTTGAGGCTTTGAAATAAACTAAAGACAATTAAACAAGGAATTAAAGTTGGAGGCATGTATTATTCAGGCCAGGGTGCATTATAATGATGAACACGTACAGAATTTTAAAATGATAAAAACCAGTATTTTCAGAATGTAAGGAAGCATTACATATTACATAGTAGTATCTGCCTGGCATTCTCTAATTCCAATGTCTTTACAAAGACATAATGGAATAAGAAAAGTCTTCCCAAATTCCTTGCCAAGACAGAGATTATACCTCATTCATCTACCATGTATGTGGTGGTTTGGCCCTGACTAGAGGCCAGGTGCCCACCAAAGCCACTCTACCACTCCCCCTGGACAGGGGAGAGGGAGAATATAACAAGAGGCTCATGGGTTAAGATAAGAACAGTTTAACAAAGCCGTATCAAAAGGTAAACAAAAAATTATTCTCTACTTCCCCTCAGCAGGAGATGTCCAGCCGCTTCCCAGGAAGCAGAGCTCCAGGACCTGGAGCGGTTGCTCCAGAGGATAAATGCAAGCAATGAATCCTCCCCACCACATTCCCCCTTTCTCCTCACTTTTATATCTGAGCCGACGTCATATGGTATGGAATACCCCTTTGGTCAGTTTGGGTCAGCCGGCCCGGCTGTGTGCCCTCCCAAGATCTTGCCTACCCTCAGCCTACTGTTGGGAGAGTGTTGGAAAACCACAGCCTTGGTGCTGTGTGATGTGTTGTCAACACCTTTCTAGCTACCACTACAAAAACACAGCACTATGAAAGATGCTGTGGGGAAAATCACCTCAGCTAGACCCAATACACACATAGCAGGCCTATGTAACAGAATTCACACTTTCAGCATTCAAATACAGAGAGAAAGTAGCTAGGCAGGCAGAGGATAACCTAGCAAATATGTACTTAAAATAATTTTATTGTGTACCATTAACTCATCTTGGTGCTATTTCCTAATTAGGAGCTGCCTAGCAGTAGGCTAAACACAAAGCTAATGAATGGGGCCATATTAAAAGAACATTCAGCTGAGAAATATTTCGCCTTTTCGTTCTGTGATGACTTAATCTGTCAATATGACTTCAAAGTCACAAAGAGAATCCCATAGTGTGTTTGCATCAATGTTAGTCCATCTTTCACACAATGAAAATTAAATGTTATTGATGGGTTATTTAATAACTGTGCAGAGAAAGGTACAAAGTAGTCTCAGTAGTCACAGAAGAAAGGATGATTGTCTAAATGAGGCTTTTTTTCCATTATCCAGTGGATAATAAAAAAAATAGGTAAAAGCTATCTTACTGTGTTTCAGTGACCTCTACCTGTACAACCCAACATGACACTGACTGATGATTTGAAAATAGCCACAAATTCAAATGACATAAATCTGTCATGTGTCACGGGGTCTCATGTAACTTAAAAAATTGTTTGGTAGCTGAAATAAAAACCTGAAGTTCTGATAATTTGTGAGCGTCAGATAGTTCTAAATTACTTTTCATAACAATAGACAAGGTGTTATTACTGCTTTTTTTGGCTAAATTTCAACTCCCATAATTTCACTTGCATGTTCAAATGACACTCTATGTTTTCAACGGCATAATTTATCCTTTACTTCTTGTCTCAACTTGTTGCAATGCACCGCACCGTGAGGCCATTAGTATCCTCCTCTGCAAAGACAGGCAAAATAAGCTCACTTATGGTTTGTATTTGATTCTGACAAGTTTGTAAAGAGCTTTGCAGTTGTCAATGGTAAGAGACTGACTGACCTGCATAAATCTAAAGCAAGTGAAGTTGATGGCAACTTCTATTATCTTTAGGAATACTAGGGTATCATTTTGCATGTCCTGCTTTCACTTTTATAAAAGTACCAAAAAAACGTCCCAAGACATTAAACAACCCAACAGATCAATACAGACCTAATAGTCATAGTAAAGGAAATATATTTTCTCAATTTTCTTTAAATTTAATTCTTGCCTTGCCATGGCCTTCTCCCCAGCAAAAAATGGATGAAAGTGTATTAAGAAATGTGGCTTATCACTTGTGAGAAACCGGAAAGAATGCAGACCTATTCCTCCAAGCAACCTCAATCCGGTGGGTGTAAACAAACAACTTTATTCACCAGGTTCACTGCACGTTCCTAGTACTGCATTATTTCTATGCCTTCTATAGGGCAAAGGCCTAGTCTATGGAAGCTCTTCTCAGACAACAGCTTTCCTCCCCTCAAAGTCTCTCCACAGACTGCACTTATCCTCTTTTTCCATAAGTGCTGAGATTATTATTTTTCCTATGTATCTTTGCTATTAAAATATAAACTACTGATAATTGGCAAATTGGCCTCACATCAGCGTACACTAATTACTGTTGTCATGCTTCCTGTAGCTTTTTCACCTTAATATTTTCCCCCGCTACTCCTAATGAGGAATGTATAATAAAATTCATTTTTATGTTATTCTACTGACTTCCATACAGGTTGAGGTTTTCCTTGCTATACTGCAATATGAAAAAAGAGGGGAACAACAGGCACAGATATGCTAAGCAAATGGACACAGAATAACAGAGATAGAGAGCTAGGCAGCAAGCAATCTGAAAGAAAACTAAATCTAGCACAGGAAGCTAAGACACAGATAAATTAACAGATCTGACAAAATCCCATAAACTGAAGTATACTTACTAACTACAAAACAAGAATGTAGTGTAACACAATATTTAAAATTTTAAACCCCTGACACAGACAGATAAAATACTATTTTTATGTCCAGACAACAGCCTTCCTGCTCTCAAAGTCTGAACTCCCGCAATCTGCGTTTATGCAAAGCAGATCTCAAAACAGTGTCATATCATCCCACTGGTGTTTTCAAATAAAAAAAACAAACTTGGAAATTATAAAATAAAGGTATCATTACCATCGGTAACTTCCAAGTAGGCTTTTGTTATGATACTTCCTGCAACATTTAAAGTCTGGCAGATGTAGTACCCAACATCAGATCTCTGGACATTGGTGATAGTGAGGTCTCCTGTCTGGGAAACTGAAAATCGGCTGGATGACTGAGGGGGCTGGTATGAGAAAAGCAGATTCTACAAGATGTACAGGAAAGAAAGTGGGGAAAAAAGGGTTAAATACATTCAAACATCAATAATCTTACCTTTAATATATCTGACCAAATTAATCTTTTTTCCATTATACATAAAACATTCTGCTCTTCATATCTTAAGCATGTCTATATCACAATGTGAATAGCTTTTATAAGATTAGTTGTGATAAAATAGGTACATATATGCACATATAATTATCTTCAGTCTTTTGGGATTGCTCTAACACCCTCTGTGGTCAATGGGATTTACATAAATAGGCACTAGCAAAGATGTGATACGTACAGATACCAAGCAACTGTGGTGAACCTAAGTAATCTGCTTTAACGTTCTTTTTTAGAACTTACTCCAGGAGCAATCTATTTATTTCACTTAAATGCAGATGTTGGTTTACTTATTTGTATTTTAACTTTTATCTTTCTAAGACTGGAAGAGATTTTTAAAAAGAGATGCTGTTTAGGTCTCTCTAATCATAGTGTTTGTGTTCTATTACAAGTCATAGAATTAAATCCTATGCCAGTTTCTACTTAAGATAGTTTTGGTATGAAGCACATAGTATTTGCCAACAGTGGTCAAAAATCAGAACTGCAATCAAAATAATGCAAGTCCTTTACAGTAAATACTGATTCTAAATTTCTACCTCTGGCTTAACAATTTGTGCACGAGAATAATTTCAAGTCTCAGATGCTAATTTTATCTCTCTTCCTTGCCTAACTACATTTTGCTTTTCCAAAAATAATCGAAAGGAATGGGACACAACAGCCTCTACTTCAGTACTGGCACACCCTATTCCTCGACATCCTTCTCCAGTTCCCTCAAGCATCACAAGTGGTGAGCACTCAGCAGAGTCAAAAATGAGTCAGAAAAATTATGTACTAGACAAGACTTGGGATAAACAAAAAACAATCCAGGTCATACAAAAATACAAACATAATGTAGTGATATAACATTCAAGATTATAATCTGTATTTTGTTAGCAGGCTAGCTGTACTTAGGTACAGTTGCAAGAAAAAGTATGTGAACCTTTTGGAATTTCTGCATTAATTTGTCAAAAAATGTGATCTAACCATCATCTAAGTCAAGAGCACTGACAAGTATAATGTGCCTAAAACAATAACACAAAACCAATTCTGATCCTCCATGTCATTACTGACCACACTCATTCAACATTCAAAATGCCAGTGGAAAATGTTAGTGAACCCTTGGAATCAGTAACTGGTTGATCCCCCCTTGGCAGCAATAATTTCAACCAGGCACTTCCTGTAGCTGTGGATAAGAGCTGAGCATCCTTCAGGAGGGATTTTAGCCCATTCTTCCTGGCAGAATGGCTTTAACTCTGTCATATTCTTTGGACGTCT